ATGTATATTTATTGATATATGTATACATTGATTATAATATATATATAAATTTATATACATTATATATATAATATATATATATATATATATATATCTTTAATACCTACATTTATATTTATATATATATATATTTGTACCTATATTTTTATTATATATATAAATATATATATATGTGTATATATGTATCTATATACATATATATATATACCTATATAGATCTATCTATATATATATCTATATATATATATATATATGTATTTGTTTTTATATATATATAAACATTCATATTTATGAATATACTTCAATTATATATATATCGGTTTCCATAATTTCCGATCCATGTTAATACATTTGCTATTATCACGAGTGAGATGAAGTAAGATTCATCCAGTACTGTCATATCTATGTGTATCTCTTTTAGACCTTTATGATTTCATATAAATTAGCCATGCAGATCAGAAATTGCATCTATGTATATAGCCCTCTTTTCACAGCTAGATGGGCATGTGGTATATAATCGATAAGTCAAATTATTATCTGTTCGAGCGTTTACAACACATAAGTGTATCTAACAAATTCAAATATCTATCTTCGTGTCAGCTTTCATGGGCGCGGTAGAGTGCCCCCATTGCAAATATATCATTGTTTAGTAAGTTCCAACTCGGCTTGTAACATTGTTATTCGTGTGCACAGGTGTATCTGATTCAGAAACAGACCGCTCTTATCGGGGATGACTCCAAGGAAGCGGCGATTCGTAAAACGAGAGAGGAGGGGAGGGCTCTCGCGCGGCAGGTATGAACTGCAAGATCAGTTGGCGTGTGGTTGACTTGAGCGGATTATCGTTGATTCCATTGCTTATGAAAGAATTGAGTGTTCAGTAGATGTGCTGTAAGTTTCTGTGTTCAGTTATTAAAGGGACGTATGAACGAGTCGAACGGGTGCTTTTTTTTATTGGTTTAGCTGTATCTGTTGTAGCGACGCATCTGTCAGTCGTTGCCTTGGCAACCTTGTGTAATCGCACATGATATCGCTCTCTTGTCTCCACTGAGCTCCCGACTTCGTAGAAATATTGCCTTGTATGTGCGATGTAATGTCTCCATGCGTACTGTCTCTGCTTGTACGAATACCTACCAACGAGACTGCTGGTTTGAGCATGTATATTTCCATCATTCATCATTACGATTGATTCATACACAGATTGGTAGCGATGTGAAAGATCTCGTGCGGTCTGAGCAGTCTGCGCCCACAAATGACAATATCCGGCGGATTAAACTTGCGAAGCTCAAAACGGACTTTACGGATGTACTACGGAGGTATGAGGCGGCGGAACGGGAGGCAGGTGAAAAAGAGAGGGTATGTAAATTACCACAAAAAGCGGTAATATCTTTAGCAAGGATTGGTGTAGGTGGAGGGCCAGTGTATAGAGAGAGAGGTATGTGTGTGGAGGGGGGGTTATATAGGCGACTGTGAAGTAAGTATGTGAATTCCTAAGGATGGAGTGAGTAGCGAGTCAGAAAGATTCTTTGGATATGTACGCAATGGGTTAAGTTGTTGTGTAGGGAGAGAGTATGTGTAGCAGTGGTTATGTCTGACAGATATATATATATATATATATATATATATATATATATATATATATATATATATATATATATATATATATATATATATATATATATAATATATGGTCACGCATTTCCTTTATAGAACACTTCTGTGATGAATAGCTTTGAGGATGTAGCGGGGAATATGTTGTGTTCATTCCTATGAGGGTATTGTATATGTCAATGTGCGGGATATACAAGCGGCGAGCTGTAGGTGTGACTGGCAGCGAGTGAGTACCAGGTTAATTGTATACCAGAGAAAGCGCGTGTAGTGAATAGTTTATTGGTATGTTGAACATTGCAAACAGAAAATATCAACTGGGAGGTATGTTTAAAGTAGGTAGCGGTTTACCAACTTACAAGTTATGTATCATCTGGCAAAAAGCGAACAATCGAGCACGTCTCTTTGTAGCCCAGAAATCAGCTACATACACCCGTGAGCCGTATGTACATCTACTACCACGCATACAATTGGTTATATCCAACTCTCATATTCTCGTACACTCTGCTCTATCTCTATAGGATGTACTCAGGATAGCCCGTCAATCGCAAGACAGCGCAGGCAGAGACGAAGTGCTGATTGACATCGATGGTGACGACGACCAGAACGATGCAGAGCCAGGAGCACTCCCCTTGTCCCGGCGCGAGAGACGAAGCCAAGATGTGAGTTAAGTGTGTTCAAAGACAGTGTGAGTGTGTTTGAGATGTGAGAGAGTGTATCTTGTCGCCGGGGTATTGGTGTGATGTAAAAGAGTGTAGCGTAAAATGCTGTGCTCGAGTCAATGTTTTGAATAATATCTCACGTGTATGCCAGTGCCGCCAGAGACTGTCTGTGGTTTTTGTGACCGTAAATGAATTATATCGTTGCACCGCCTCTGATTCTAATCTTCGACCGCAAAGACAATCATAGTAGGCGTCTGGCTGTAGTAGATCCTGCGTCTAGTAAAACGTTTGGAACGTAATTCCTGGCTCACGTTTGATCCGCCGAATACGCAAATATCAAAGCTCGAATCTGGCACTGGCGGGAAGTCATCAGTGTAAACTTGCTGCATTGTGCGTACTTATTGTAGTGTACAGTTCATTAACTTCTATCAATGTGACCCGATGGTCAATGGGAATCCGTACATCAACTCCATCGGCGAAAAATCACGAGCCCTTCTATGGTGTCGGTCAGTGTCTTCAGCCTAAGTACAAGTCCATGAGTCGAGTGGGTAATTCGCGTCTGAACTCGATTACACACCGTCTGTCCAGCTTCGCTTATTTTCTAACTGTTGCCCGTTTGCAGATGCGAAACAGTCCCCGACGACAACAACGACGAAATCCACAGACATCACAGCGACAACAACAACCGTATGCACCACCAGCGAGGCAAACACAACAGCAAATGCAGGCCCAAATGGAACTGGATATGCAACTGGATGACCGGATCACGTACAACGAACGAACCATCGCTCAGCGCGAACAAGGTAACACGGACTGGCATGTATCTGGCTATGCAGTCAATGCAAAGTATTTGTGTATGCAATTTAGTTGTGTCATTGGTAGTAGCCCATGTACGGAGAGGTCTTGTGCATGATTTTGTGTTGTGTTGTGTTGGAGAGGGCTTTGGTGGCAGACTGCAAGTGAGGATGTAGCGTGTCGGTATCAAACGGTAGTGACACAATGCAGCACGCTAACCTTTCTTTTCTTTATCTTTTCTTGTGACTTGTGTTATGTGCCCGTTGTACCACGTTGTTCCTGGTCCTGCAGGTATCACGGAAATTGAGCAGACCATCGAAGAGGTCAACAGTCTGTTCCAGGATCTGGGTGCACTCGTACATGAACAAGGCCACATGCTAGGTAAGTAGGCAGTTACTGTACTTATGCACAGATGCGTGTGCAGCGAACATGCACAGACCATTTGCCTAGCGTACGTTGACCTTTGTGAGCTACGACCACGCCAGCCCACGGTGCAGCTGTCGATGTTTTTATATTCTGTGGTTGTGTGTGCTCGCTGCTTCTCAATCCGGGGACTCCATAGTGCATTCAGTGTGGTTAAGACGGATCACTTCTGGTGGGCGAGCGATACCATGCTTTGGTGGGTTTCTCAGGTCGCTAAGTGACCAGAGTAGATTTCATATTAGCATGGTATGACGGTCAGTATACCCAACAATATATCTCTTTATACATACTGCGTATGTTAGTCTGGTTACGTAGGCGTGATGAATTGTGCATTCACACTTTTGTTCCAACGCGTGTATATGTCTTACAACACTGTCCCTTTTAACACCAGCGGTGTTGTGACTGCAAACTGTTCGAAAGCGGTCTGGCCTTCAGGGCCTTAGTCGAAATCAAAAAGTAGGATATAAATTTATAGCTGGGAGTCTTTCTCCAAAGCCATATCTGTGATGATTGTTGGAATAGTCGGCTCACGGCCTCGTATATAACAAACAAATAACCACCGTAAACTACCATGTGGTCTGCCGCCACTCTTACTGCTCACAATAATTAACCTAACAACTATATGTTCCGATCGTCAGATAATATCGAGTCAAACATCGTATCGGCGTCAGACACCGTTGAGGAGGCGCACGAGCAAGTGCTCACGGCAGAGGGCTATCAGAAATCATCACAAACGCGCATGTGCTACATGCTGTACTTCTTCCTGGCCATCCTCGGGTTGGTTGTACTGATCCTGCTGCTGACATTGGCGTAGAAAACTTACTATGCCGAACCCTGCCCATCCCGCGAACCGTCGTGAAGTACAAATAGGTTTGGCCGAAAACCCTGAGAATAGTGTTTTTCTGTACACTGACACTCTGTTGTAGTGTGCATGCAATACCAAGCGATGCCTCGTGTTCTTCTCTCATTGGACTACTTCGCAGCAAACCTCCACAGCAGCTAACAGTAAAAGCAAACTATTCACGCTCATCACAGCCGTAGCCCCAGTGGAACCAGTGCTAGAGAGAACCACAATCGCTCCAGCAGCACGATCTTCATGTACTACCCATCGTGTTGCATCGAGTCGATGTGGCTACCCATCTTTGTAGAACAACAGTATACATATACGATGGTATAGCCATTGTGTTCCGTGGAAGAACAGAATGGGTTCGCTCACAATCAACGAGTGTTTCAGGGTGCCTCCTGAGCACACGCTGCTACTGAGGCGTAGGCCCACGTGTGGGATGCGTTCACTTAGTGCCCAAATGTGCAATTTTGGGTTTAGGGTTTTACAGTGCAGTCGTGACATGCTGGCTATAGACCAGTTTCAGGACTGGCGGGAATGGCTGAGGTGTTCGTAGTAGCTGCTGAGTGGTGTCGAGCTGTTACAGTCTTTATCCGGATGCCGTATTCCCTCTCTTTGCATGAGTGTCAAGCTAAGCTTAGCTGGACTTAGCTAGGCTTGGACACGCCTGAGGTATGCACGGGTCACTACTGAGTTCGATTCTACGGTAGCGCAGAAGTCGTGGCGAGAACCACTAGAGGTAGACGGAGAGGCTCATACAAGAAGTACTTCGCACCGTACCGAGATCCAAACTTGTCGTCGTGAAGATCGAATTGGCAACAGACTCACCTGAACCATGAAACATCGCGACGCGAAACGGTAGCTACACGCAGGCAAAGCCGGATAGATGCACGAGAAGATGGCATCAGATGGTGTGCTTCATAATTGGAGCAGTGAAGGCATGCGCGACATTCAACTGAGCGAATGACATCCCTCACTGCGGATTGAGAGGTGTAATACATTGATGGAACAGGCTTGCGATAGATTAGACTCACTCCGTGCACTGTGGTTGTGCGGATTGAGCCTAAAATACATAGCCACCCTGCTTCAATTTGACTTCTTAAATTAGATACTCTGTGGTTAGTTCCGAAAGCCATTGAGATATACTATAGCCCATAACAACACCATCGAGCGCCGCATAATGGTACATTTCTCGGGAACCGAATTTAAAAAATAAGACTGGAGACGGACTATCACCGAACCTTCAATGTCGGATTTTACCTAATTTTCTGATTGTAATTGAATCATGCTAAAATTAAGTACGCCGTGTAAAAGACACAAGAAAATGAAAGTTGTGTTTTATCGTTCGTTTGATACCGAAGTATAGTGTAATATGACAACTAGTCAATCGTATTTGTGCATATGCCTTGTGGTGTAGCACCCCTAAATGAGTTGATCGGTTCTTCTCACTGTCCTCGATATTTAATAGCAATACGAACGTGGAAATCGGATAAATGAATTCAGAGTAGCAATGTGCTTATGTAAGGTCGTAGCTAAAAGGACATTCTCCACTATTTAATTTGCATTCAATGTTTTTTTTATAGTACTAGAAACAATTTTTAAACGGTGTATATGCTATTAGAAAGGTTATATAAAATCCATCATAACTTCAAAGTGGCCCCATCGTAATTATTCTTACTAACAAACAAGAGGATAACACCAATATAACCTATTAATGTATATAAATAGTAAATATATGTTGGTAGCCCAAATTTGATTCTGGTATGTTTATTATTTATTGCTTGATACATTTCAAGTGCGCTGGCTGACATCAAATTGTGGAGACGCTCCATCGGGTCCAACGCTAGCCCATGGACCGAAATTGCAAAGGCAGTTGTCGGCGTCATCCTCGGGGTACTGGTATATAGGCAGTCCTCCTATGGTTACCACACCATCGCTGTCAACCTGGACAAACCCGTCATCACGGAGTGGGCTGTCTTCGGGAACAGTGTCATCAAATGTTGGCTTGCAATCCGGTGTGGCTATAATGTACGGCCAATCGTCTCCGGTGAACATGTGCTGGCCATCGTACTTCTTGTCGGCGCATTCTGCTTCCGTGCCTTCGCATTCTAGCTCGTCTGCTAGTGCATTCGAGTCTGGTCTATAAAAGTATACGCACTTGGCTGAAGGACTAGCCCTGCCTCCATCTGTGTCCTCTTCCATCGCCCCGGAAACTGTGCTTCGAACCAGCACCTCCGGTTATATGAGGAAACTGAGTTTTACCACCGCCCTGCCCCAGTTCATAGAATACTATACATCCTAAGGTATATATATCGACCGTCAAAATCGATGGGTTGGTTATGTGAAATATCGCAGTCAGTGGCCGTGTGTGTGTGGCCGAGTGTGTGGGGGGGGTGGGGGTGATGTCCAGCCGTGGTGCTCTTGTCTTTCTGATGGTGCTCTGGTCATTCTGATGGTACGGGGTGTGTGTGCTGATGACATCGAGTGTCGTTGCTGAGTGCTATGCCTGTGACTGCTGTTCCGTGTGGTTATCGTCAGAGTTGGCCATCCCTCAATAGTGCTGAGTGTGGATATGATGACACCTCCGCTCTACTTCGATTGTGCTAATCCTCTAAATCAGCAACAACACCTAGTCTATATCCACCTATGTCTATATCTAGTCGTGCGCTGAAGGTCGCTATACTCCTTGACTGCCCCCCATTCAAAACATACAGTCAAGTACTAAGTTCTTATACTAAGTACCGCAGCCACGAAGAGTGTGACACTACATGATGCGGCGCTATGAGTCTCAACCTGAGCGGAGAGACACCTTTGGTGTGGCTATCCCGGCTTCTAATCCTAAATTTGGTACCTGTAGGTGACATACAACAACATAAGTGAACATTCTTTGGTGGAATGGAAAAGAACGGAATACAAATAGCCTACTAAATTGATACTTTACCAAGCACTCCAGTGGTGAGCGCATATATTAATATCCACATGGCCGTCCGGACTCTTGGGACGTATGAGCTAGAGCTCTCATTACCAACAGCGCAAGCGTAAGCGGTTACGTACAACCACTACTCACACATACAAAATTACACCCATGTAATCCACTCAGGAAGCAGCGCGACAGACACAATCTACGGATCAGAATGTGATATGTTTTACGTATCTATACCTATGCAAGTTCGATACCTTCACCTTGTGCCACTCGAATGAAAAGAGAAAGTGGCTCTCTGACAGGCGAGCGCGAGTACATACCATTTGTTGGCGTGAGTACATACCATTTGTTGGCGCGAGTACATACCATTTCTTGGCCGCTTGTTTTCGGTTGTATTCCCTGATGTTTCCCAGGAAGTTCTGTGCGTCGTTCTTCATATCTTCTGTCTTGTCACCGATACTTTCCAGTTTCTCGCCTCGCTCTTGGAGCATCTGTGGATGAAGGAAGTGGGTTTATTTCACCAGCATGCTCCAGCAGTGTGTGTGTGTTCATATATCAATTGTACTAATGCCCTCGTACCAAGTATAACTCAATACAATATTTTATGTATCTATTGATAGTAGTCTTTGAATGTACCTTAGTTTATAGTCTGAGCGGGGTCAGTACACGCCCAACACTCTAGCAGTGTGTGTGTTCATATATACACTTGCCCGAGTATCCGAGCGAGCCAATGCGTGCACACCCACACTATATATATACCTGTACAACTATAGGTACAACTCAGCTACCCGATATGTGCGAGCATTAGGCACACACCCGTTAAACGGGTAACGCTAAACAGTAGGCACACACTTGTGCCTAACCCTATATACATACCTGCTAAATGTATTGTACTGAACACTAGGCACATACCTGCTAAACGTTTTTAGCGTTTTTAGCTAAACAGCGGGCACGTACTGTGCTCAGCATTGTGTACACACGTTTTAAACGGTTTGCGTTGCACATCAAACACACACCTGCTTGTTCTCTCGCATGGTGTCGCCAATGGTTTCGCTTTGCTGTTTGGTGTCCATCATCTTCTGCTTCGCTGTGTCTCTGTGCTCCCTCGCACCCGCAATGCGTTGCATAGCGTCACTGCCATCAGACATTGTGACTGTGACAATACAACGGATATAGTGTGTCAGACATTGTGACTGTGGCAATACAACGGATATGGTGTGTCAGACATTGTGACTGTGACAATACAACGGATATGGTGTGTCAGACATTGTGACTGTGACAATACAACGGATATGGTGTGTCAGACATTGTGACTGTGACAATACAAAGGGGACGGTGTGTGAATACTTACGCGTGTGGACATACTGTGTTGCTCACCCATCCGTGTGCACTGGGCAACATATATGGAAGCCAAGGTTACCCAAAAGACATTGTATTCGTATTTTATAACGTGACGTATATAGAACACTGGGTGCTCGGAGCGGCACAGAAGATGGGGTCATAATAAGTCCACAAATGAACAACGACCAATTTGACCCTTCTATCTCTATCGTATCAATTTCAGCATCGCTTGCCTAATTTCAACCTCTGCACATACAACACTCCCCCCCTCTCTCTCTCTCCCTCCATACACATAGTAGAAACAGATACACCTACACACGGTCTGATTGACACCATACATAGTCGCAATTTCAGGCCGTAAACTTCACAGACTCTGTGCTACAATGCAGGGGCAGAGAAGACTATACGACAAAAAAATATACGACAAGCAAAGCCCAGCACACTATTATCCCCTAACATGAACGCAAAGCAGAAGCGATGGGTACAACCGGTAATCTGTGCAAGATACACATGGGCACATGGGCACCCCAGAACCTACACAAAGCAGCACACCTGCGCTATACATAACTCACCCCAACACAGAGGCTATGCTCACACACACACTAGAGTCAAGGTCACGACCCACAACAATTGACTATGACATTGATATTCAAAATGAGAGGGAGAACAGCTAATACACGCACACACACACACAAACATATATATACACATACCTACATGCACACATACACATACACATACACGCACACGCACACGCACAAGTACATACACACACACACTCACACACACACACACACATACACATACCTACATGCTCACATATACATACACGCACACGCACACGCACACGCACACGCACATACACACATACGCATACTTGCAGGTGTGCACACACACGCACACGCACATACACGCACATACATACACGCACACGTACATACACACACAGAGGCACAGGTACTGGCACAGGCACACACATATAAGTACAGACACACGCACACGTACACACACGCACATGCACACACACACACGCACACACACACGTGCATACACACACATACACAAAGAAGCCCTGTCCACGGACGCGTCATTTCCTCCGAAGACGGACGACAGGAAACCCCCACCGGCAGTTTCACGTGGGGGCAGTAGAATGCCAGGTGTGAAAAAGCACCCTAAGCTAGCAGGCAGCCCTAGCCTGTAGCAGGACACAGAGGTGGATGTGTTATTGATAGAGAGGGTTGAGGTGGGTGTGTTATTATTACAGAGAGGTGAGGTGGGTGTGTTATTATTACAGAGAGGTGAGGTGGGTGTGTTATTATTACAGAGAGGTGAGATAGGTGTGTTATCATTACAGAGAGGTGAGGTGGGCGTGTTATTGATAGAGAGTGGTGAGGTGGGTGTGTTATTATTACAGAGAGGTGAGGTGGGCGTGTTATTGATAGAGAGTGGTGAGGTGGGTGTGTTATTATTACAGAGAGGTGAGGTGGGGTTGGTGATATGAGACACTGGTCTCCTACTTTAAGTTTGACTTGGGTGCATGGACTCAATGAGTGGATCGAACGGAACAGGTTCTGACAGGAATATGTTTAACCATGCATGCCAGGGATAACAACCTATTCACAGTACTATGTCGCCTATAGTCACCGACCCAAGATAACTTGAAGGAGTACTGCACTATACTAGGGTGCAAGCTTGGATATGAGTTGCTATATTCCCTTCCAGTAGATATACGCGTTGATACACACTCAAACATATATATTTATATAGCGTACGTGTTTATTGTGTGTGTGTATGTGTGTACACAGGTCGAGAACACACTCTTGTACGGTTGCATACGTACATGCACGTCAACTCTCAACCACGCACAGCAGCATGTGACATATACTATACGATACAATATTCGGACATCAGGATTGGTATGCACATACTCGTTACCAATCATAAACATGTGCGTGTACGCCATATGACGTTTTCATCGGCCTGCACGAGATTGATCTATCGGCAGTACAATACGTACCTATTGTTATCTGTTCACTTTGATAGGTTCATTTCCACTTCAGAGATGACACTCACATATAGCCATTCTCACCACTTCACACCCGTAGTCACCACACCCGTATAAGCAATAGTACATGAATAATACATAGTAGTACACAATCGTCCACGATAGTACTATGACCCTAACAGTGACACGGGGCAAGTGTGCTCTGAACACATACCTATTTTCCGCTCTGATAATGGACCAATGTTCTACGCTGCCAGTGTGTGAAATGGCCACCAGCCTTCCGTCCGGACTGACTGAAGGAATCCCAGTCAACCCTGCACCAGCAAGACAATGCAGCACACAGGGTTAAGTAGAGCCAGGATACGTATACACACACGCTCACGCTCACTACACAACACAACACAACACAACACAACACAACACAACACAACACAACACAACACAACACAACACCCGGGCACGGGTGAGTGCCAGCGGAGCCTAAACGGAACTCAATTGAACTGGTGTATGGTATATGGTATGTGGTATATGGTGTATGGTGTATGGTGTATGGTGTATGGTGTATGGTGTATGGTGTATGGTGTATGGTGTATGGTGTATGGTGTATGGTGTATGGTGTATGGTGTATGGTGTATGGTGTATGGTGTATGGTGTATGGTGTATGGTGTATGGTGTATGGTGTATGGTGTATGGTGTATGGTGTATGGTGTATGGTGTATGGTATATGGCGTATGGTGTATGGTGTATGGTGTATGGTATATGGTATATGATATATGGTATATGGTAATCACTACGTAGAAGTGAGCTCGAATGCTGTGTGGTAATCTGTGCTGTGACGCGTACAAGAGAGACCATTAGACTGACATGTTCGACATGGTAGATGGATGGACTATACTTGAGCACTCAGTGCACACCATTTGCATAGCCTCGTACCATACAATTGCGCTGGCTCATCCAAGTAAACTAAGGATAATCCCAGCCATGCTGATATAAACTCAGCCCATGCTGATGTATAAAAACTGCTCGTCAGAATTTACGTACACGCTGTTGGTCTCAGTCGATAGGGACAGTCCAGAACTATCAACACCAAACCTACGCTACTTAAGTATATGAGGTGATACAGGAATGTTATTCCAACTGGACCTACCCTGCACCTATCTCCGTCGGTAGTGATACACACGCACAAACCAACCAAAACGACTGCGATCTCAATCACATACACACAAATACTTATCATAGGTGAATGCTAATTAGCAACCTACACGACTACGATCTCAATCACAAACACACAAATACTTATCATAGGTGAATGCTCATATGCAACCTACACGTCTACGACTATCAATCACATACACACATATACTAATTATAGATGAATGCTAATCAGCAACCTAAACGACTACGATCTCAATCACATACATCCATATACTAATCATAGGTGATTGCTAATCAGCAACCTAAACGACTATGATCTCAATCACATACAGACATAGACTTACCATAAATGAATGCTAATCAGCAACCTACACGACTACGATCTCAATCACATACACACATATACTTATCATAGGTGAATGCTAATCAGCAACCTACACGACTACGATCTCAATCACATACACCCATATACTAATCATAGAGGAATGCTAATCGGTGCACTTACCTTTTAGCGTTGTCTGTGCGGCAGGTACGATGGGTTTGAGGTCGGGTAAGCTGAGAAGCGATAGGTTGCCCACATCGTCTAGCAGCACCAGCCCACAGTGCAGCACATTGCCCACAGTCTGTGTGTACAGTATACGTTACATTAACGTTAAAACGGCGTAGGATGATACGACCGATAGTCTAGTATATAGGTGATTCATGGGTGTATGTACGCTGTAAGATAGTTATGACGGTACCATAGTGGCGACCAATACTGAACCCCACGGCATGTCCGTTAAGCAAGCGTACATCATCACAAGTGCCATGAGCACGAATCAATGGGTTATGTGACATAATACTACAAGTAGCAATGACATACACCATCACAAGTGGTCATGAGCACCACTCAATGAATTGTGTGACATGCTACAAGTAGCAGGAAGTAACAATGACAGCGTGGTGCTTCCTGCATCAGGTTCGTCGCCCTTATTTCCCGCAATACATTGCGGGAGAGCATAAAACCTGATAGACGCTTCCGCACGAACGTATTGAATACTACATACATACAATCGGATCAGCGCTCCAACTACACTATGCAGTGCATACTTCAATCAACACGGACACGCGCACTCAACCCCACGGTACCCAATACACGCACCTCGCCAGACGGGCTGGTGAAGGGAACAGACCAGTTGATGACGGTTGCGGAGGCTATGGCCATGCTATTGGGTGTGTCAAAAGTGCTCAGGATGACATTCGCGGGTAAGCTGAGCAGCGACACTGCATGGACAAGAGGGCAACAATAAAGGCAATGGCGATGAGCGTGTGCTAGCAGAGCCGTCGGGAGAGGTTTGTACCGAACTACGACGCCAAAGAACATGTACGTTTGAGTTGATAGGCCGGTCGAGCTCCCTGGTGGAATGCTGTCTCTCTCTCGCCCGCTAACCTACACCTTGTTGCTCATAACCCTTGGCTGGCTATAACTCTGCACTTATTATATGGCACAATGAGAGCCCTTGTACAAGGACGTCTATGCGCACGTGAGTATGGGATGGTTATGTCGGTGCAATCGACAGTGTGCGCAGCATACAAGGAAAGCGCAGTATGAGATTGTCAAGGAGACGGACCGACGAGCACGGGCCAACAGTGTGTAGCAGCAGCCGATCATTCCCATCGAAGAACAATCGAACGTACGAGGCGAGTGACGTGGGCGAGAGTGTGGCTTATACGTGTGTGTGTGTGTGTGTGTATGTGTGTGCGAGTGAGGCGTTGCGGATGGATGTGGGTGTGAGCTTGTGAGGAGGATTGGTTATACGTATGAGTGCGCACGAGTGATCGGGTTAACGCCGATATATAGGTACACATCCACTCCACCGCAGCCCAACAACCAGAATGAGGGAGCCTGCACCGGCTGTTCCTTGTATGAGTGGATAATATGGATAAGGCGCCGGTCTAAAAAACATCTTGACAATACCCAATACCACAGAGTGGTCGTATATTATACAACTCCGGCGCAGTGAGAGAGACTGAGGCCTGCGAATCGAATCTAAACCCCTAAAAGCCGAATCTGATCGCAATACCCAATCATTTGCTCATTGAATACTAATAGCACAGTCTTAAAAAATAGACTGTATAGCTCAATCCATGCCAATGTGTGGACATTGCCGAGATAGGGGTGTGGGTGTGTTCGGTCATACTGGATACTCAAGGACTGAAATTGACCTGCCCAAGGACTGAAATTGACCTGCCCAAGGACTGAAATTGACCTGCCCTGAAAGGCGCTTATCATGCAGTAGCAGGCCGACGAATCTCGGTGCAACTGATCACGCAACACAAGAGACTGTCAAGGGTAAGGCTACAGTACTCACCATCAGCACACAAAGAAAACTCTAACCCTAAACCCTGCACCTGCACCTTAAAAATTTAAAACAGGGCCTGTCAACATGTACATTCTGCTTCGCCACCACATTTTGGGCGACCTGAAACGATACCCTACCTGAAGACCCGGATACGGCGACGCCAAAGACGAAGGGATCGGTGTCGGATGCTGCATTCGGTGCGATGTCTATGAGCTGCACAGACGCAGAGATATCCACTGCACATTCAAATACATAGACGGGTAAGCCTTAAGGGATAGACGGGTAAGCCTTGAGAGATAGACGGGTAAGCCTTGAGGGAGTGGGCACGTGATGGAGTGTGAGAGACCGTTCACGGATCACTGGGTCACTGCATGCCATGCTAAACCCTAAAACAGTGGCTACGTATGTTTGTTTGTATCCATGTTTGTATGTATGTATGATAAAGTGCGAGTGCCGGATGTTCTCCATGCGATAGTATACACAGTGTGTGCTGGGCATCCCACCCTGTCGCACGTGTTAAAACTCTATGCCACAACAACCAAAAGCCAATCCAATGATCCCACCCACCGTCAGCGTCCTCGTCTTCGTCCCACTGGCATTGCGGTGATTTGATTGGGCGTCCGTCCGGGGTCAGCAGGATGATTGTATCGCCGCTTGTGGGCGTGTTGATCGGCTCTGTGTCTACTACTGGTTTGCTGTCGCACGCAGGTTTGTCCAGGGATCTGGAACTTGTTTCCAGGCTCTTCGCAGCCGCTACTATATTGTTCAGCCCTTTGGCGATGACGTTGGTATCCTTCCAAGTCTGTGCTGTTTTGCTGTGGCGATACAAAGGAGGTTGTTTCAACCGGTGGTGGACAAGTAAGTGCAGTTTCTATAGCTGTTGGAAACTCGAAGTTAGGGTATACATGCTTTAGGGTTTAGGGTTTGCCGCTGACCTATAGACGAGCGTGCTATCTCTGTTGATGATGTATGCTTGAAATAGCGCGCAAGTGGCACCTCGTGGCTAAGAGTGTTAGAACAGCACACAGCACGCACATCCTAAAACCCTAAACCTTAGAACCCTAAACCTTAAAACCCTATAACGCACATCTTATGTAGCGCACTTCTGCATCACACCGCAAGTGTGTACGTTATGCGCAAACCTGCCGTTCCGCAGAACTTACTGCAAATGCTACATTAGACGACTCACTAACGCAGAATTGCAAGTGGTTCGATGGTGTGATCGTACAACGTTACAGTATACGTGTACACACCCGCCTACCTACATCCAAACACGCCCACCTACCTATAACCAAACACACACACCTACCTATAGTCAAACGAGGTGAGCATACAGAACGTATGGGGCACTACCATGGCCAGCGCAACACCCGACATGGCCGTTGTGATAAACAGTGTGGGTGTGGGTGTGGTTAAGTCCACCTTAGCCTCCGCATCACTCGACGGTGACGGGAACATGGCGTTGAACGACAGCGACGTGATGGTGTCTGATGCCAACCGTTGGATCTTGGCCGGTGGCTTCTCTGACTGTGAGTTAAGTGCGATAGGTGTGGT